TGGCTGGCTGGGGAATTCTGGGAGTTGGAGTCCACTCATCTTAAAGTGGCCAAGTTTGGACAACACTGCCCTAGAAGGTAGAGCTACCAGGGAGATCTGTGGTGCCCTTAAAAAAACAACCAAGGTTCCAATCCCATGATGGTGGCCACCGTCTTGACTTTTTTGACCCCCCGGGGGACACCCCTGAGAGATACGCATGTGAGAATTGGCTGAAGACAAAATGCATAAGAGGTGGGATTTGGATAATGCTACAAAGCAAGAGCCTGGATGGCGAAATGCCCTCTGAACCTAAGAGGGCTGGTTTTCAGATTGGCATCCTAAAGAGGTCTTGCTTCCAGAAAGATGGCTCCAGGCTTTAGCTGAAATAGCCAGAATCTACGTGGTGTGACCAGTGTGGGCTCAGGGGTGGTTTGAAGGGGAAAGAAGGCTAGAGATGTATGCTGGCTTCTTCCCCAACCTGGGTTGGACGAGAACTCCTAGACTCCATAACCACCTGCGAATTCTGGGAATTGTAGTCCAACCCATCCCTTGGGTGCAGGGGTAGAGAAGGGAGGCCAAACTCAAGTTCAGCCAGGCAACTGCACGTACACACCCACACCCACACCCACACCCACCCACACTCCTGGCCAGCGGAGGAGCTGTCTGGCCAGCGGGCCGCAGCAGCCCTTTGTACAGAAATGTCGCATTGTATTTTTACCTGCTGCTGATGACGTCAAATTAAAAAAGGCCGAAACCGGGTTTTTTCCTATTTTGTACCCGGGCCACGGAGCATCTTGCATTCCGTGATCATCAAACCAGGCACGGGTATCAAAAGGGGGGCAGCAGGGGCTGGAGAGCAGGGGATGAAATGCGCGTTACAGCACGGTGCTGCAAATTCGGTGCTTTACGTACTTGCGCACGACGTTGCAACCCCGAGGGATCAGCGGCACGCTTGCAACACGACGCCACCGTCTTCGTGGTCGTGTCGGTGCCGCCGTTCGTTTTATTTATTTCAAACGTTTACCCGTCTTAAAGCAAAGTCTGGACGGCTCGCAATCCGGGGATGAAAACGAGACGGGCAAACGAGGAAATAAAAACAGTAAAATAAAAAACTGGGTGGTTAGGAAGAGAGGCCTAGGAAACCTTGCCACCTCCCTGGGAACCGAGACAGGGCTAAATCTGCTCTTGCCCCCTTGCCAGGCCAAGCACTGTATTAAAAGGTCTTCCAAAAGAAGACCAAAGGTGGGGCAGTCTCCACCGGAAGAGAAGCCCCTAAATTTTGTGGTAGGCACAGTTCTTGAATAACAGGAAAAGTTAGAAGCTGTTCTCGGATATTAAGGTGGAGAAAAGGCCCTAGAAACTAGAAGAGGTTGAGAGGGGAGCTCGATCCAGATGGGGGAGGAGGAGGAGGAGGAGGCGAGGGATGTGCCCAGGATGGTCCAGAGCAGGACTAGCAGATCCACAGGAGCAGAGGAACCAGGAGGAGACCCGCAATGCTGGACTTGGGCGCAGCTGCAGAGTTGCCACCGGACAACTTCTTCGGCGTGTAGGGCTCCAAGCCGGCGGCGTAGGCCATGACGTGAGCGATGTACGATTGTTCCTGCACCCCGTGGAAGAGGTGGGCCATAGGTCCCTTGGCCATGATGGCCACGTCCTCACCCCCATGGGTCTCTGAGACAAGGGGCACGGCAGCCTGCTGGTGGTACGTGTTGTTCTCTGGGGAGAGGAGAGGACCAGAGGCATTAGATGGGCCGGAGAGACCTTTTGGAAAACGAAGCAACTAAAAAGGAGGGAGAGCGTGACATGAACTCGGCACCGTTGCCTCCCTGGGGTCAAACGAAGCGCCTGCCACCCTTGCTGCTACTCCTGGCTCAAAACAGGGTTAGTGAGCACAGGGGTGTTGTAAAACACAAGCAGAGTTTCAATCATATTATCGTGGTGGCCACCTTGACTTTGACCCCACTCTGCAAACAGCCCTGCCTAAATCAGTGATTGATGCAGTTGCCCCCCCCCCCAGCTTTAATTCCACCTCGGCAGCATCTCCTGGTGCTCAAAGCAAAGCTGGGTCTGGTCTC